TGGGACATTTCACTGTCACCAATGGGACATTTCACTGTCACCAATGGGACATTTCACTGTCACCACCGGGACATTTCACTGTCACCACCGGGACATTCCACTGTCACGGCTGGGCCTCGGTTCCTCCAACCTTTACAAACCAGGAACCAGGAACGGGAGACTCGGGATGAGTCGCCCCCGGCACCGTCTGCGGTTGACCAGGGATGTGATTCAAGGTCTCCCGGGCCGGAGGTCAAACCACAGCAGGGATTTTGGGAGGGAGATTTATCCAAACGTTCCACTTTTCTGGGGAGAGTTGGGGTTGATGGGCCAGGGGGAGGGAGCTCTTGGTCTTCCCAGAGCCTCAGTTGCCTTTTGGAGACTCCTTGAGAGCGATCCATGGATGCCTGGGGAGACCAGACAGCAGGAAAAGCTGCTCCAGAGTCGAGGATATCGAGGAATCGGCTCTGGATTAGCTGGAGGGGTGACAACCACCCTTCCTTCTCCCACCCGACCCAGGAAGGACGTTCCCAAAGCACTTGGGGCTGTGTGAGGGGTGTCCCCAGAGCTCCAGCTCTGCTCCCACAGCCCCGGGACCACCCTGGAGGATGGGGAGGTCGGAGACAGAGGTGGGATGGGGGGGGAAATGTCCCAAATTGGCCAACTCAGGCAGGGAAAGGGCTCCGGAAGAGAAAAGGGAAGGGAAGAGCCTCCTAAAATCCACGGGGACAAAGGCTGCTGGGACCTGATGGGGACAAGGGGGGACAAAGGGTCACCACGGGAGACCCCCAGGACAGGGAGGAGGATCCAAGTGCTGCCTCTTCCTCCGTGCCGGGAAGGGGCTCATTCCCGGGGGTGTCACCCCCACATCCCAAACCCCTCCTCCGATGAGACCCCCTCAGAGTTCCCTCCAAAGTCACCCAGTACCCACGGTTTTGAGGCGGGAGAGAGGAAAAAGAGGAGCCTGGTCTGCTCCTTCCCCGGGGCTCCTTCAAACCCCGACTTCAAAGGGCAGGAGAAAGTGAGGAAGCGCTTTCGGATCCCGTCTTGTCGCAACACGAAACTCTCGGGCCGGGGAGGGAAAAACCACACCAGGTTTCTGCCTCTCGTGTTTATTGGGGGGAGAAAGGTCGGGCAAACACACACGGCCGGGCCCGGGAGCACCAGGGGAAGGGGGAACCCGGAGCCAAAACGGAGGTTTTACAACAGAAACTCGGGCGGGGGGGGAGGGGGAAAAAAAGCGAATGAAAAGTCCGTGGGGTGAGAAACGTCTTCGGCTGGGCCAGGAGGAAATTCCTGTTCTGGAGCTCGAGCTCTGGCTGATGAGCAGCTCCGATTAAAGTTGCACCACGGCTGGAGCCAACCCGAGGTCTTGAGAGAAGCTGAGTCTTCCTGAGCTGGGTCTTCCTGAGCCGGGTCTTCCTGAGCCAAGCAGGGACCCGACACAGGAGGGGACGGAGCCTCTCGCTCAGTGTGCTGATCCACGGGCTCATCCCAGACGGATTTAGGGCTTCCCAGTGAGCAGGAAGGTCATCCCAGTTTGGTTTGGGCTTCCCAGTGAGCAGGAAGGTCATCCCAGTTTGGTTTGGGGTTCCCAGTGAACAGGAAGGTCATCCCAGTTTGGTTTGGGGTTCCCAGTGAACAGGAAGGTCATCCCAGCTGGGTTTGGGGTTCCCAGTGAACAGGAAGGTAATTCCAGTTTGGTTTGGGGTTCCCAGTGAACAGGAAGGTCATCCCAGCTGGGTTTGGGGTTCCCAGTGAACAGGACGGTCATTCCAGCTGGGTTTGGGGTTCCCAGTGAACAGGACGGTCATCCCAGCTGGGTTTGGGATTCCCAGTGAACAGGACGGTCATCCCAGCTGGGTTTGGGATTCCCAGTGAACAGGAAGGTCGTTCCAGTTTGGTTTGGGGTTCCCAGTGAACAGGAAGGTCATCCCAGCTGGGTTTGGGGTTCCCAGTGAACAGGAAGGTAATTCCAGTTTGGTTTGGGGTTCCCAGTGAACAGGAAGGTCATCCCAGCTGGGTTTGGGGTTCC